CCCCCCCTTCCTCCCTGTTCTTTCACACGCAATTCCTCCCTGCACAGAGGGCAGCGGTCCAGTCCTGCTTCTCATCAAACCCCTGCCTGTTTGAGAGGACGCCGCAGCTCAGAGCGAGACGACGGTCGACAGGAAGCCTGCTGGTCAACGCAGGGTCGTTTACTTTGACACCCAATGAATTTCACAAAGCTTGTTCCACAAATGTAAATACTGATTCTGATTTATCACTTTGGTAAATTTATAATTAGTGTGTTACAGAAACCATTGGCATGTTTTGGAGGTCGCCTTTCACGCACGATGAACGTAGCAGGAGAATGTCCGAGTCAGACACGTTTAAACAACATCAGGAAAATGATTTAACCTTCAGGTGAGAGGTGGAGCCTGTACATCATGCAGGAGGTGGGACATTCTCTTTGTTCTCTTCAGTTTGTCGCGTGTTACAAACGTCATCAACACGCCCACTGCTGTGAATTCACCTGCCGCAACTGATTCTGACGTTGTGTGTTTTCAGTCAGAATGAAGACTTGAATAACTATTTCAATTTAAGTTAAAAAACGGATTCATATTGGAAATCATGATAATAAGATGGACTCTCCATCTTTTACAGTATATTTATATTCAGGGTGATTAGCTGAGTGCAGATGATATTAATTCAACAATAACCAGTTCGACACAAAGTGAAATGCATGAGATAATTTATCAGAGGTCGTCCCATGTGCATGACTTTATTTCTACATGATTGAAGAGACTATCACTGAGCACTGAGTGATTATGGAGGTCCCATGTATTCATGGAGTTGAAACAATGAGATATGACATTTAAAAACTTCCCTAACAGAGAAACTATTATGCTGAGAAGATCTTGACTTAATTAGATATTGTATTTTTTTTATCACTGACATATTCATTTATTCACATATTTAATTATTTTCCTGGGAAAGTCGTTCCATGAATCTTTCTGAGCACAAAGAAGGGAATTAATCACAGACAGATTTCAAACACATTGGGGAGTAATGTTCAATCCTTCTTTAAATCAATTGTTCATGAGATCAAAAAGAGCCTCGGACAAGGCTGAACTGTTCGGATGATGAAATCCAAACAGTGAAAATAAAAACGGTGTTGTCGTGAGCTGAGTCTGAGGGAAGTCGTGCAGCGGGTGGAGGACAATAAAAGCCAGTGAGGTAGCCGGGTGCCCTAAATGAAAACCACTGCTGGGCTTGATGAAATACGTCCCTGAAGTTAGTGAGGGATGAAGACATTGAGTCTGGTGTTGACGGCCGAGCGCTGGTGTCTCTCTCTTAGGAATGAACCAAATAAACAAGCACACACTTTGGATTAAACCCATGGGAACAGTTGCACAGAGCTCACCAGCAACCACACGTCAAATTCTGTGGTTCAGCACCGGCTGGATTCACATTTCCTATTTCCCACAGTCCTGTTTTCCTGCGGGTAGGTTAGCTTAACTAGCTTCAAATAGTTTTAACTAGCTGCCAGAGGAGGGACAGGATGTAGACACCAATAATAACAACAATGATAATAACTAGCATAATAATAATGATAATAATAATGATAATGGTGCTTTTCTTAACAATATTACAAAGTGCTTAACATTGAGGGATGAACATTTGAGTAGAAAGAAGTCGACAAATAAAACAAAAAATAAGAATAGTATAAATAAATACAGTACAACCAATGTGTTCGAGTATGAGTACAAGTATGTGAGGATATACTCTCTTTGTTTCTCAGACCTTCATCGTCAGACTTCAGACATCTAACTTCATCGTGCTGCACAAATCATCCGAAGTCGCACTGATCAACTCAACACCAATTAAGAAGTTGTTTCGAGCGAAAAACTAAAAAAGAAAATTTAGCGGGAAAATACAACACAAAGAGTAACAGTACAAACAACACTTCGACTTCATCTTGTGAATGTGGCAGATTTTATCTTTGCTTCTGCAAACTCCTCAGACAGATCACATCTAAAAACCATCTCGGTCGTTTTTCCTCATCACTCGCGCACCACAACATCGTGAGACAACCACAACACGCCAGCCACGTTTTGCTCTGTGCTGCTGCCGCTGCTAAATATTGTTGCCATGGAAATATACAGCAGCAGCTCCTAGTTCTGACATACAGTCGGGGGGGAACTTTACTTTAGATACGCCCTATCTTGTAAAGTTCTGTATTTGGCAAGTTTTAAATATGTTGATGGTATATTTGATTTCTGCCAGAATATCTGATGCAGTACTCGCAGTGATGAGAGTAGTAATAGTGTTGGGGGGGGGGGTCTGGCCTGACACAACAGACTGTCTATGTGAAACTGGCCCCACCATGACCAGCAGAGGGCGACTCCTCTGGCAGTTTCCATAGAAGTCTGTAGAAAATGTCTCCGCCTCTCACTGTGCAGGAAACTTTGTCCTCGGGAGTTTTTGTCTCAGTCTCTAGTTTCAAGTCTTCTTCAACACAGCTGATGTTCATTTATCAGTTCTGATCATTTACAGTCAAACAGACCAGAGAGCAGTGTGAGCACTGGGGGGCGTGGATACCGTGTGATTGACAGCTAGTGCAGTGCAGATGGCAGGTGTAGGTGGGCGTGTGGTCAGGCTCCCCCCCCCCCGCTCCTCCAAATATGGTTACTTCTGGTTTAAAGAAAAAAACAACAACATGGCGCTGGACACAAAGCAAATCAAGGCTTCAAAACAGAAGCTCACAACCCGACTGGCTGACATGTGTGGGATTGTTGGGCCTTGGTGGAGGAATACGCCAACTGGTGCAATTCTAGTTTGTGACATGTCCTTTTTTAACTTTAACTTTAACTTTAAATATCCACTTTGTTTGCTCTACTTCTGTCAGAGTTGATGTCAGGCCTCAAAAACATGTAACTCAGACTTTGAACATGTCTCTTTCAGATTGTTGCTGAATCTATGGCCTGAGGGGGAAAAGCCTCCACCTCAGTTATCCCCCCTCTAACTTTCAGATGTCAAGAATAAACAGAACCTGATGAAACCGTGAGATCTCTGCTCCCCTTTGTTCATGTTTTGCACCTGAAGGTTCACCTCTGTGTTTGTGTCACGGGCGTTCGTCTCGTTCAGATGCAAATTTGGAAACAGAGCTTGAACGTGTTTTGACACAAAAGACAAAACTGTGTCCGTGAAACCAAACGGCTCCGTCACGATCAAAAGTAAAAGCGTTCTGCTGTCGAGAAAACAGAGTTTATTATTCGATCGGGCGACAAACTTCAAGTTGGGAATGTGAACACGATAGACGGCTGCTATGAGGAAGTAAATTGTGCCCAAGATAAACACTGCTGTTTACAGAGCTGAAGGTGTGAATGGTCTCCATGGAAACAATTAACAATTAACTTATTTTGAATATTAGAAAACTTCTTGTTGAATGAATGATGAAATCAAATACAATCTCCCAAATGATCGTAAAGCTGAGTCAGCAGCTGAACGTTATAACCTTCACGACAACTTTTATTACAGGGATGTATTATTACAGCAGTTATGGCTGTACCTAAAAAACTGGGTGTTGTGTCTTAGAACTGTTTGCAGTTGTGAGTCATTTCCTTTGTAAATTGTGTTGCAGGACGTTCAAAAAAGATTCAACTGTAGGAGATTTTGTGTATATATATATGTATATATGATATGATATAGTTTATTGTGAGTGGAGAAAGTTGTAGACTCCTCTCTGCTGCAGGACGACCCTCAAACATACAGCAGGAGTCACAGAGAGAAAAACCAGGAGTCCTGTTCGCTGATCTCAACATGATGGAGTCATCACACCATGGAACACTAAATAAACAGAAACTGAATTAAGACACGTGGAGTTTTCTGACCTGAGTCACTTTATGGAGACATGTATCTGTTTTAATCACATTATAATGTCCTGGTTGAGGACACATGCCCTGGATTCAATGTTGGATGTGTCATGTAATGGATGTAATGTCGACAACATGGAGGGTTTATTCTCTCAGTAACTCATATCAACATAATCAGAACAATGTTCTGTTCAATAAATGATCTTATTGGAAAGGCTCGATCGATATTACTGAATAACTGGGATAGTGCTGGGTGACAGAAATGACATCAGATATAGATATGAATGTCAGTCGATAACCATCATGATTAATTATTATTTCTTTTAGATTTAAAGATGTTGGCTCCTGGGTGAAGGTTGTGGTTTTTCTTTATTGGCAGAGATTGACAAAAATCAACACAACACAAAACATTGATTAGACATTCTCCTCCACAATGCGTGAGCAGTATTTAACATCGGTGTTAATGGAAATGAAGCTGTTAATGGTTTATTTTACTCTTGCGCACTTGAAATGGCTAAAATGGAAATGATTAGGTTCAGTTTACTTCCTGGTGTGTTTGGAAAAATCTCAACAAAATTACGCACGAGTGTCGCTGAGTCCAGTCCACCTTAAATCAGCTGTGCCAGACTGTGCGCACACATTTCCTGAAAACGCCCCGTGACAGAGAAAAGGGGGAAACTCCAGAGACTCCGAATAATAAGAAGAATAATAAAGCTTGTTTATCCAGAGGAGGAGGGACGGACTCGCAACTTCCCTCCTGCGCCAAAACTTTCTGATCACTCTCCAAACCTGCACTTTTCCTCCCTCACCAGCAGCTTCTCGGTCTCCACGCTCCGCGGCAACAACACCGACCGAGGTCAGCGCCTGTGACCGCCCACGGGATCTGTCAACGCGGCCACAGCAGCAGCAGCAGCAGCGGGTGTCCGTGAACATGCCAGCCGGAGGAGTCGCTGGCTGAGCGGACACGACGACGACGCGGCCGCTGCGCGCATGGAGGAAGCCCCGGTGGCGCAGGAGTGAACTAACGTGGAGCTGAACGTGAAGTTTGTGAAATCGCAGTGACACCATGTTGGGGAACCCGGGGACGTACGCGAACAAGAAGAGGAAGAAGCCCGTCCTCAAACAGTAAGACGAGTTCTTAACCTTGAACCTGGAGGTGGTTCTGCTGCAGAATGAAGAAGTGAACGTGACACAATGAAACTTTATTCTTTCAAGTGTCGCAAAGTTACTAAAAGAAAAAGTAACAAGTTATAAAAATGTGTTCGAATATGAAACAATGTTTCTCTAAGAGGGGGGAGGGGGAGGGGAGGGGGGGTATTTTAAAGAGGACGTGCGGATCTGGGATCTGGCGTAAATATGTTGCCCTGGCGCATTAATCACAATCAAGAGGGAGAATCGGCTGCTGCTCTCACGCGATGGTCTGAGGAGGAGGAGGAGGAGGAGGAAGAGGAGGTGGGGGGGCTGCTGCTGCACAGAATATTATTGTAATGTGATACTGCCTCGCCTTCGTCACTGTGGGAGCTGAGCTGGCTGCATGTTGTGTTTGTCGTCCTCACTTTTCTTTTCTCTAGTTCAGGACAAAGCAAACCAGGAGACCACTGCGGAGGTGGAGGGGTAAAGAGTTTGAGTCCACAAAGCACTTCACAGTGTTGCAGCCAAATCCAGTGAAAAGTACTGGTGATCAGTTTGTCATATCAAACATCCTCATCCACACCATGTGTCTTCGTGTACTCTGTGACCCTCCTGTAGTAACTGCTGCTATCGCAAGTTCTCGTGATACTTGGGTAGTAGACTAGTACTGCAAACATTCATCTCTCACTGAGGAGAAAACCTTCTGTCTCCTCTAACTTATTCCAGATCAGTTTGAGAGTTGTTCCTTGTATTCACCGGCCCACAGTCTCATTTGTAGCTGATGCATGGATCGTGTTTCAGCAACAAGCGTTCTGATGAACCCAACGTATACAGAAGAGGAGGAGTGGACCAGTTAGGAGCTTAAGAGCCAGATGTTATTTGTAGAAGGTGGTGGAGACCAGGGTGGAGCTTAAACTTGATTAAGCATCGAACATAGAACTTTAATATTTGAAGTAAACAGCAAACGTGAGCTGTAACTGATAGTCCTGGTGAGAATGGAAACCAAAGGCAACCTCAGCAGTGGGTCTCTACTTTCTTTAAGATTCACTGACAATGATTAATACTAGAAAAATAAAAGTAAATATTGAGCTAAGCTAACATGTAGCAGTAAATATATTCATCCAAATGATCTTGTACGACGTGGATGCACTGCACGTTAGCGGAGCACAGTCTTCTATTGTCCACTGCAGATGTTTCTGAAGATGTGGGACTGACGGCCCAGATGTGCCCAGCTGCAGAAAGGCACCACTGAGCCTGGCTGTAAAAGGCTGTGGTCACTGCACAGAGGCATTCCGTGGCAGACCGGACCTTTCCAAAGCCTCTGTTGTATTGCCCAGAAGCCTTCTGAGTGTGCTGGCAGTCTCATTCTCCAGGAACGCTACTGTATTATTTAAGAAAGGACCCACTCATTGTAATTTATATGCTGTTCTTCAAAAGAGAACAAGCCTTCTGCTCTTTCAGCAACAATTATTTTTGTCGGTTGGCAGTTAACGTTGTTATTGTGCATTTAATGGATTTTAACCATAGAATGTATAAAGATGGATGACATGGCAGCTCCCAGTTGTCTTCATCGCACCCTGGTGGCTGTCTGCCGTATAGGTCATAAACCCTGCCTCCTCCATGTTAGCAGATGGGATGTGGAGCAAAGTCTTAAGGACATTTTAGGAAGTTGTTAGGTGATAAATGCTGAAGTGTTCACGTTTCTGATTAGTTTGTCTTTCATTTGTTATTTAATGATAGAAAAAGGGGGAAAGACTGATCGGTCGAGCACAAGATGGCGTCATCCATGTCTGAGATATTTGGGCAAAGTGGAGATGAGTCCTCCATCTTTGTTTACAGTCTACCATCTCCACACTTCCAAAAAATGCAAACTTACAAATTGGCAGCAACCATTTCATCACAGCACTTAATTTAAAATGCTGTTGTACGGCTCCAAACTAAACAACAAGAATCAACAGTGATTTACTGCGTTTTCTCTTTGTGGCACCGCAGCAACAACACCACAATGTATCTGGAACACGCCGTAACCTTTCTTCACTGGAGACGGTTTCTGCAGCCGTCGGAGCAGTCACTGTGAAAATATGAGTTCATCTTAGTTTATAGGCCTCTTTAAACAACTCCAGTAATGTGTGTGTGTGTGTGTGGATCATAAGCAGATGATATTTATATGTTTTATAGTGTTAATATATCTTGGCAAGTAATGCTTTGTGGTAATATGCTACACACACACACACACACACACACATGCATGCTGAAAAGGGGTGTGGCAGAATGCTCACACACAGTTACTCTTTGTTCTTTGCCCTTTGTTCACCAGGTACACACTTTTTTACCGTTGCACACTTCTTACCTACACACTCGTTACCATCAAAGCCTGAGGTTGAACACACGAATGATGCCTCCAGCTCTCCACTCGCTGTCTGTAACTAAATACTCTTCTACTTCTTCCAGCTGACTTGACTGTATCGAGGAATTGGTCTTATCACTCTTGGGCTGAATGAACTAAACCCAACTTTTAACAAACGTGTAGTATTTATACAGCTCGCTGTAACTGTACATAGAATAAGGATTCCATGATTAGCACGTGTTGTGTTGTGAAGTAAGAGCTCATTAGAGATGGAAAGAATTATTACACTTCAATTATTATTGAATTGCATCGGTGTTAATATTTGTATGTTAGTGACAATGAAGCATCTTTTAAACAACTGTCTGTGGAGTAAACGAGTGTTTTTGTCTCTGAATTAGTAATAAAAACTTTCTAGTGACTGCTGAACACTTAGAGTATTCACCATTAACCACTGACCCCCGTGCCTCTGCAGGACGCTGGTACAGGAACATACACAACATTATGTGTTTTTAGTTTTGTGTGTGTGTGAGCCCTCTTTTCTATTTCTACCTCTCTTTCTGGAAAACTCTGCTTTTGTAAACTATCTTACTTCCAAATCAGCCGTGTTTTCATGCACGGCCAAACATGTGTATATAGAGAGAGCACATTCAATACTTCTTGAGCCGCTGACTCATTCCTCTGGATCTGGCAGACGCTTCATCTCTTTTCAGACAAATATGTGTCAGTGTCATAGCAGCAGACTCAGTGCAACATGGTCTGACTTACATTTGCAGCTGAGGTGTTTGAGTTTGTTTCTCAAGCTCAGCTCTACCCTCTTGCTCTATACATAAAGGATCCCAGTGGAAATGAATGGATGAGGTTAAACGTCTTTCTCTTGGACAATGAACACCCTGATGTCTGCTGCTCTACCCCGTGATCCATAGCAAATCAAGGTGGAAAAAACGGTTCTGAATGCTGGCTTTTGTCTCCGGTAGGCATTTTTTGAGAGTGAGATCAGTCCTGCTCCATTTCTGGGAAGGTACAGCTCAGATCTGAGGCCAACAATTTGAGTTTTGGTTTGCATTCTCCACACTGTTCAGTGGCAGAAGAGGAAATATAACAGCCTGCCATTAACATCAGCTCTTAGTGAAGAGAGAAATACTGGAAAAGGTGGAGAATTTGCAGCCTGACACTTCAGACATGCTCCGTTAGCAACCGACTCGGAGAAGCTGTAGATGATGAAATTACTCTGAATCATTCTATGGCTGAAATCAAGTGATTTACTGTGACGGGAATCAACCAGGCTGACGCGGATCACTGATTGGTTCCTCCTCATGAAGATTTGCAGAGAGGACTCTTGCTTCGGAACATCTGAACGAGCTGCTGCCTTTAAGGCTTTTCACATAGCTCATCTGTTATCTTGCTCTTCTGATAGATTTAGTTTTCTTGTTTTCCTGTTATTGTGCCTCCCAGTGTGATCACATCCAGTTCAACAACACGTGGTTTCCTAGATCTGCAGAGGAAATGGTTAATTTACCGAAGACATTTATTTAGTCCCAACAGCTCGTAGTGATTTACAATGTGCATGTGTCAAGAACATAACCCTGTGACTATAAGACAACCGCTCTGCCTCCTGGGCCATGTCACACCATCATTTCTGAACTGATAAAACTCCTTAGCTAATTTATACTAGAGAGTGGACGGATTGTGTTCACTGGTCTTATCTGTTTTCAAATGTTTTTTCAACCGCTGGATAATTTGTAAAGAAAATCATCCGAAATTCAAAATGATCCACTAGAAGGTCACTCACAGACCGAATCCCTCCACCGGGGCTGATTGGCCACTTCATCACCATATTGCAAATACATGTATTGAACACTTGGACACATATACTATATAGTTTTTGTGTAAACCTGCTACTAGACAAGAAGCAGTGACAACATAATGATATCTGAGGGTGACTTTGACCCTCAGATATTACGATTTATCATTATCTCTATAACGTCTCACCTTCGGTTCATGATAACTTATTACACTTAGACCTTGTTTCCCCTGACAGGAACGAGCTTGCATATAATTTGAGGCTTCCAAAATGGTTCTTCTCCATCAATTGTAGTGATTATTTCTGAACACTTTGACTGTGCTGGGTCTGAGTGTGGTGAAGGACCGGCAGCGGTGGTGCTGTGTCGTCCCACTTGTTTCATTTTTTTTCCTGGTGCAGCATGTGCGTCTGATTTGTGAGAAGCGACTTGCCTCGATCATGAGCTTGTGTTTTGCACTAGAGCAAATTAGTAAATCTGCAGTCATGGTCAAAACTGGTTTCCATTTTGACAAGCTAAATAAGCAGTCAATGAAATTACTTTGTCCATTTGTCCGTTTCTCATGCTGGTGTTTTCACGATATAATCTCAGGCCAAGATTGTTCCCTTCAATAATAAACAATTAGTGGCAGATAATTATGAGCAAAATACCAGAATCTCCAATGAACAAATGAGCAAATCCTATCATTTCTTATGAATTATTCTTTTTTGTGTCGAGCCAGGATTTGTTTGTGTCTCTTGGTAGTTTTGTGTTGTTCAGTGCTAACATTGCTAATTCCTTTCCACCACCACAAAGACTTTTCTTATTCCCACATGGTTCTTCCAGCTTTGTTGTGCCTTCAGAGGACCCGAGCAGGAACATGTAGCTCAACAAAGGCTCTGCTGCACCTCGAGCTGTAAGAGAGATAAAACAATGATTGTGTAAGCATTCAGCAAGTACATGCAAGTGTGCAAATACCCTAAAACCGACATGGCAGCTGTTGACTCAGCAGCATTTATTGTCACTTTTATGACGTAAGTCTGAAGCTGTTGGTCTCATTTGTAAAAGTAAATACAGAGCATGTTGAAACAGAGTGAGTCACACTGCTTCTGTGACAATAGATGCTTGAACTGAATCCCCCCCCCGGTCTTCGATCCTAACAAACTTCTTCGGCATGTTTAATACTTCAAATAACCGGCCATGTTCTTCCTCTGTGTTTGCTCCACAGAAAGAAAGTGTCTGAGGGCAATGAGGTCGTCAAATCCAACCCTTCAAAGCGACACCGGGATCGGCTGAACGGGGAGCTGGACCGCCTCACGGACCTCTTGCCCTTTTCTGAGGATGGTCGCTCTCGTCTGGACAAACTGTCCGTCCTTCGCCTCAGTGTGGGATACCTGAAGGTCAAGAGCTACTTTAAAGGTGAGGAAATTCAAGCCAAGTCCACTGTTGTGGATCGAATGACACTGGACTTGGCCTTCGGACGTCGGTCTCTAAGGGCAGATCCTAATAAGCCCTTCGTTACTTTGCGCTGCACCGAAGCTGCCGTCTAGATTGACAGAAGAAAACTGCAGAATAGAGGCTTGCACATTTTTCAAACTCTTTTTTTGCATCTTATTGTAAATATAGAGTCAATCACAATACACAAAAACATGAGTTGTGTAGAATTCAATCTAGAGAAGTGGACAATTCAAAACTGTAGAAACTAGGCCCTTCAACTGCCCGGACTGGAAGTGATCGGAGAGGAGCTGCACTGGCAGCAGCTTTGACAGCCGAGGCAGGAATGAGAAGCATGTAGGAATCTGGTTTTAGGAAACAACACATCCTCAGTACTTGAAACCTTACCCCACCCTCTCCGGTGAAGAACAACTGCAATAGTCACCGTGAAAAAAAAAAAAGAGATGAGGATTCAAGTGTTCACTGATTCAATGAGTAGACTTGCAGGCACCCACGAGTGTGAGTCAATAGAAACGTGAGTCATGCTCATAACATCATCGCCTGCAATTGATAGATTTCTGTGAGTTGAACAGACCAGTCGAGGTGTCGGCAGGTGAGATGGTGAGTAAGTTGCCTCGATGCCTCTGGCTCCGACTTTAGGATGTATGCGTCACGTCCTGGTTGAGTCTCAGTTCATTGTTTGTGCATTGTTCAGTCGTTGTGATCTTGTGGTTGTACAGCACATGCAGCACTAAATGTCTCTGTCAATAAAAGCCCATGTGATTGGATTAATGACCAACTTGCTCGCCAAGAGTAGAAACTAAGACTCTTAGACAGGTAATGGCTTCAAAGTACATAACATGTGTCCCAACAACATGATATTATCAGGATCAGACTTTAGTTTTTATTGTCCATGTGGCAACGTTAAGACCAGTTTATGGATGGAACACGATGGCACGACAGCAGCGTATACCAGGGGAGTGTGTTTCCTCTCGGCCGCAGCTACAGGGACAAAGCCGCCAAGCAGCCTATTCTGTTTTTAGAGCTCTGGCTCCAGGTTGTGGAGTTAATCACGGCTATAATTATAGCTTGTTATCAGTCCAAGTGCGACTCATAAAATACAAAACACCATTGACAAAATAGAAAGTGGTCATAACCAGAAATACCTACAGTTGTTGACCGGATTGATATTCATAACGTGTGGGATGGAAGAAATCACCGTAACTATCAGACTGCGACAAGATAAGTTTGTGAAATGACTTAACGCCTCTACACGTAAAGGTCGGTCCGTCAAAACACAATCTGGGCTTTAACAGACGCTTTCATTTACTAACTGGGGAGCGTTAGCATTTAGCACAAAATCTACCGTGAGTAAAATTATAAGAAATGTAGGAGTTAGTGTTTGTGAGTCCCGAGCCACACTATCCATTAAATACTCAGGATACTTCAACCTCTTTCACTCTACCTCACAGGCATGTAATGCACAATCACTGCACTTCTTAATCACATCGCGAGTGATGCGCATGTGAAGACGTCCTCCGATGATCGGTCCTCCTCGGTGTAACTCGATGATGTGGGTCAAATCTGGGTCAACACGCTTCAGCCAGTCGTCTTCAACTGGGACTCAAATGGGTCAGACGCTGTCTCACAGGGTTCTTTATGAGGGCTGGAAACTCAATTAAACAATCAAATGTAATTTTAAACGTCGTCTTGTTTGAAGAGAGAAATGAATAGGTTGCACGTGTGGCTGACTGAAGGAACAATGGAGAGGAAGCTCAACCGGTAATTATGTAATGTAATTGTGCATAATTCTATGGTTTAGCAGTAAATCGTAGCTTAAGTTGCAGACTGGATTCTCCTGAACGAAAGTGCACTGTAAAAATGAAAACTTCAAATCGCTGAAGGGTAAAAGTATTTTGTGTCAACTTACTTGATGAAAAAGAGCATGAACAGGGTCTACGGAACAATTCTGCAGGGGTTTTCGGCTACAAGTCAACGTTCCTGTTCTTAGTGAAATATTGACGTCCTGCAGATGAGTGTGTGATTTTGCTATTTGTTCGCGGTTGTTGACCTTATTTCAGAAGAATTGCATGGGATCAATTTGAATGCGACTATTCCGATTTAATAGAAATCATGTCGTAATCAATTTTTTTCACGTGGTTCGATTCCTGGCTCCTCGGTCCACACGCTCTGTGAGTTATGTGGTCGTTAAGACTAGAAAAGCTCCTCGTAAAACGCTGCCTTCAAAGACATCATGTAAAATATCTGTGGGGGGGGGGAAACCCAGTAATTGGACGTCAAAAGGACAAATGTCACAACTTTCATTGTTTTGGTATTTTTATTATGTGGAGCTCAAAATTGACTTTGGTCACTTGTAATTGCGAACTGCTTCTTCAGATCAGTACCGAGAGCTTGTGATAGGTGAGGGTTCAAACTTAGATAGAACACAAGCTTTGTGGGCTCAGCCTTGGAGACACCAGCGGGGAGAGGACACCAGGGAAGAACCAGAACTCGCTGGAGGGACTACATATCCCATCCGCCTGGAAACGACTCAGGGCTGGTGGAGGAACGTCCGGCCCGTTAACTCCACGAGCTTTTCTTAAAACTCAGACATCCCGTGCAGTAAGTTTCCTTGAGTTTGTGAGTCTGAATGTTTTGCAGTGGGCGTGGATTTGTGTTAAAAAAACCCCAAACATGCTCTTACAGGCTTTGTCAGTCTTTCACCTGTTGGCACTGGACGTGTGCTGCGTCTACAATAATATTGCCGAGTGTCCACCGTGCCAACTGTCTTCTTGTGTGTCACGACACTAAAATCCAACTTGAATGTTTTTAACATCGCTGCTGAAAGCGAAACGTTCCGTGCTGCTGTCTCGTCTGTTTGATGAATAAACAATCGGAGTCAAAGTAAGTGTGTTGAACATTGTTAGCCGGGGATATCGGATTGCGGCGTCGTGTATCTCAGCAGGCGTCCCCGTCACCTCGTTTATTTCCACTGAGGTGTCGATTTCTCTAAATCTCCAATCAGAAGAGGATTGTTGTGATTTTGTTTCAGCGACTTTAGAGAACGTGAAACATTAATCCATGTGACCTTTAGGAAGCAGAAGACGACGGACGTCATAGAGTTCATACGCTGAAGATCGTAAATAAAAACCCTAATCTCACAGGAGTAATGTTTCTGTGGTTCATCCAACTCAACTCCACCACACGCTACAGACCGTGTTTCATCAGGGTCATCCGAGGTTGTTGCTCCTGTGTAAACAAGCCGAGGAGTAACTGAGTGTCCTAGTTTTATGTTTCACAACAAGTTTTGTTTTTTTGTTCTTCAGCTGTTTCATTCCTCCGTCTATTGTTGAAGAGTTATTAGAAACAATTAATTAAAGTCTCGCTTGACAGTTGTGCACAAGCTGCTCAGTGAAATCTTGAAAGAGGATCAGGGGTAAGGTGTCGTGAGTTGATGAAATGTTTCAACATCTGCTGTTGTCTTTGTAACGCTGCTGCAGATGGCCGGATACGTTTATGTGCCACATGACATAGATTTTGCTTTTGAGTTTGTTCCACAGTGAATTTCACGGCCATGCTTCCTATTAATTACTTCTGACAAGGAGGTTATGTCTTTATTACTGTTTGTCTAACTGTTAGCAGGATTTTCCAAAAACTACTGAACCAATTGCCATGAAAGTTTGCGGGAAAGGGCGTGACTCGAGGAAGAACCCCTGAAGCTTTTGAGCACATCTGGATAAAAAGGGCAAATCCAGGAATGGTGAGATGGAGTGTTTTCCTTCTAGCGGAGTTTTTAATCGAACACAGTTTAAAGAAACGTAGGTGAAGCAGTGATGACACACAACCTCTCGTGTGGCGCAAATTAAAAAATGACTATCGATAGCACTAAAGTAAACTATACACATGATTGGCCTGAGTCATGTCTTATTGCTTCACTTTGGAGAAAGGCCAGTTGTGGAGACGCTCTGGAGAACAGCAGCTTAAAGTAAAGTCAATAAAACGTTTACACTCAAACTGTAGATATAAAACACAACTCAGCCCTGATTTAAAATTATTAATCAAAGTTGCATAAGAAGAAGCGTTGAGTCGGCTGACGGACACGGAGCCTCGGCTGCCTATCTAAACAAGATCACCGAGGTTGACTCTCTGGGGTTATCCCAGTCAAAACATAAGTCAGGGACGGATGTTCAAGTGGGGACATGCCTCAAGCTGCAGATAGAGATCTTATAAACCGTTGAAAAGAAAAAGCTTGAGAGAAAAGATCAAACATAAGCAGTTTTCAGGGGTGCAAGTTCGATTCACAGAGCTGATAATGAAACAAGCTATTTAAGGTCTTTGCCTTGAAAGCTGGACCGTTGGCCTCATAGCGTGACTTCATGAGGCAGCGCTGAATCATTTTGAAAGGCTTGTGGATCGCTGCTGCTGACATGTTTGTGTGACGCTGGTAGAAATTTCAGAAAAATGTGGACTGGCTTTCCAAGTCCATTGAAAACATCCAGCGCCTGTTAGCAATCATCGTTGATGTGGTAACACGGTATTATGTGCTATAATTTAATTTAATTTGGTATTTTGGGGGACATCTGAAAACATGTACACACAAACTCACACACACACGACACAAGTGCAAGAGAAGAAATGAAGAGGTAAGGACGAGTATCAGTGCGGGGAAGCCCGGTTTTCTTTGTTATTCAATCCTCAGGGCATCATTACGAGGAGATTTTATTTGAAAGATGGGTTTTGCTAATACGAGCCTTTAAAACCTCAACGTAAATCACCTGTCAGTATCGCAACATGTGAGAAGAGGGCATCATGCCGGGGTGACAGCACTAGCGTGTCGGCTCTTGATTCATGACTCGCCTTTTTAGTGTATCGTGAGAATGCGAGCGACCGCTGGGAGACAGATTTAATCGTGTTTTCATTTTTTTTTTTTTTTTTAACAATTTCCATTCTCTGGAAGGTTTGTTTCTGAGTCTCTCTCCAGCTTTAAACCACAGCGCTGAATCCTCCCTTAGTTCGCAAACCTAATTCTTGTTCCCCGGGTTGGCCGGGGCCGAACTCGCCCACCGAGGCTTTCTGTGACATTCAGAAAAAGAGAGCGAGAGAAGAAAAGAACTTTTTTTTTGTTTGTTTGTTTGTTTATGTGCTGAACCAAAATCAGCTGTCGTCCCACTGGAGGATCAGACACATAGAAAATGTGTTACTACATTCATTTTTGGGCTGTCATTTCAAATCAGGAAGGAATTTAAAAACATTGGTTTTGTAATTTGGGCCAGCTGAAGAGTTAATTATAATTTACATAAGCTTCCTGCTTCAAGCTTTTAAAGTCATTTCCATCCACCAACATCCCAAAGTCTTGATATGTGATTTGCTAAATGTCGTGTATCTCTGGCCTCAAACTGTTTCCTCCCACGATTCCCTCCACCTGA